GATATTTTAAAGGGATAGTTCACCCAAAAATGAAAATACTGTCATCATTTACTCAGCATCAAGTTGTTCTAAATCTGTATGAATTTCTTTGTTCTCATCAACATAAAAGAAGATCTTTTGAAGAATGTTCGTAACTAGAAAGTTTCTGGTCCCCATTGACTCCAGTAGTGAATTTTGTTTTTCATACTATGGAAGTCATGGGGCCCCACCAACTGTTGGGTTACCAGTATTGTTCCAAATATATACTTTTACATTCAACAGCAGAAGGAAACTCATACAGATTTAGAACAACAACAGACCTTTAATTTTTGAGTGAGCTATTCGTCTAAAGCAGCTTAATTTAGCTGCTATTAAAATGTATGTCAATAATGTAAATCAAACATTAGAAAGAAAATCACTCACTGTCCTTGACCGAATCACTTTTGTAAAATAAATAAGAATGAATGTATATTGAATTTATACAGTGAAGACTATTCAGTTTATTTGTACATTTATTTTATACAATATAATTTCTTATTCAGTGCTTTAAGTGTTTCAAGTAGGTCTATTTTTTTTGTAATTTGTGGCTGTTTACTTGTCGTAAGTATAAGCTTGTTTTTACTTAGGCTAGTATTTTTTTTATTTTTTTTTATATTGAAATTGGTAACAAGAATTATGAAATTTCAATGCATCAAAATTTTGATAGGATAAAAATCCTATTTAAAGCTATATATATATTACATTTGTAATAGGGGGCCCTGCAGTAAGTCATAGCCCCGGGGCCCAGTAAGGTCTTAATGCGGCCCTGACTCCAAGACCTGTTTTAGGTAAAAACACCATGCTGGCTGAAGTGCTGGAGAATCTGAGGAAGAGAAAACTCCAAACCATTCAGCTTGATGACTATTATGGTGAACCTGGAGATGTGGAGTGTGACGTCTGTACTGGGGAGAAAAACAAAGCCATCAAGTCCTGTCTGGTGTGTGGAATATTTCTGTCAGAATCATTTTGAGCATCACGAAGAATTTCACTAAAAAAAGTGACACAAAATGACTGATGCCACTAGACAACTGAAGGAGATGATCTGCACTCTACATGATAGGCTGTTAGAAATGTACTGTCTCATGTACTGGCTTCTTCTTTTTATGATACAGCTTTAACCTGTATTTGTGGATGACACGGCGACCTATGTTCACAGACAGTGAATTCTGAAGGTGTTTCTGAGCCCATGCAGTGATTCCCATTACAGAATCATGCCTGTTTTGAGGGCAGTGGTGCCTGAGGGCCCAAAGATCACAGCGTCTAATAATGATTTTCACCTTGTCCCTTGCACACAGAGATTTCTCCAGATTCTCTGAATCTTTTGATGATATTATTTACTGTAGATGACGAGATATTCAAAGTCTGTGCAATTTACATTGAGGAACATTATTCTGAAATTGTTTTACAATTTGTTGACAGTTTTTCACAGATTAGTGAACCACTGCCCATCGTTACTTCTGAAAGACTCTGCCTCTCTAAGATACTCTTTTTATACTTTATATACTGATCAATATCTTGTTAATGATATGTTACTGCCAATTAACACAATTAGTTGCAAAGTGTTCCAACTGTTTCTTTTTATTAACACTTGATAAAATAACTGTAAAGCTTTTTAAATTGTGTTTTTTGCAATCGTGGTTTAGTATGTTACAGAAACTGCCCTAACCCACTCATACAGCAATAATTCTTAAAAAGCCAGAAGTCATATGAATAGATTTAAAAATGGGATGCAACTTTGAAATAGATTTCAAAATCAGAATTGAGACATTCCACATGTTCATAGCAGACATTAAGACACAGTGGGGAACAGATCTGTATTCTTACCATCTTGTCTGTAATAATTTTGTGACTTTCAGTTTCATATGTTACTGCGGTTTACTGTAATTTCTTTGTCTTACAGAAACTCTTGGAAGAGACCCAGAGAACATTCCAGCAGAAAATTCAGGAGAAAGAGACTGAGAGAGGCTGTAGAGTCTTACAAGGTGAATTTTGAGCAGAAGAACAACTGCTGGCTGCTGAAGAGCTGTTTCAGACTCAGTTAGGACTCTCCTCCAGTCAGTCAGTGAGGAGCCAGTGCTGGAGCTCTCTCAGTCCCACTGAAGCCCACTGTGGGGAACAGGCTGTGTGAGGCAGCAGTAAGAGCTGAGTGAATGGACTGATTCTGATGCTTCTCTCTCTGTGTGTCCTAACAGCGCTCTGCACAGACAGCAGTGGAGGACAGTGAGAGGATCTGTGTAGTGTTTCCAGTCTTACAATGTCCCTCCTGTACCTGAGAAATCATCTAGCATCGCTGTCAGTTCTTGTCTCTCTTTTGATGATTTGATCGTTTTTTTCAATCAATTGGAAGAGAAACTGCAGCATGTTTTTAAAGAAGAGGAAGAAAAAATACGTAGGAGAGGAAAGGTACTAAGTCATTAATTTAATCTTTAAAAGAAGTCAATGTAATAATTATAATATAATATAAACAATAATCCAGCAAAACATTGCATTAAAATACAGGCGAATGAAAATGAAATATTTTTAAATTGAATTTGTCTTGATTTTCCATAGTGCGATATATAGAGATGATTCCCACTCCTGAATACGAGAGCAGGAATGAGTTTCTACAATGTAAGTTATTTTGAAAGAGTTCATAGAGAGAGTCCATTTATGAATACTGATAAATCACACTGTTGAGTCAGTTTGTTTTATTGAATACACTTTAGGGAAACATGACTGTCTTATTTGTTCATTTACACTGTTAATACCAGTCCCAATCAATAGAATGAATAACCGTAAAAAGTGTGAAAATCACCTTTACTTTCTATTACACAGCAGTTTATTCCGGTCCCTCAAACAAAACTGTCTTAGCAGCGTTTCAAGAGTGCTAATATAGCCTCTGCTTCTTTGTTTATGCATTCCAGAGAGAGTTGGTGGGGGTATTACAACATTATATTGTGTTGCTGTGTTTAGAACTAATACATTTTAATGTAATTCTCTATTCATAGTTACTGTGTTCATTTATGGAGCACAAATATACAAAGTAACTGGCAATATTGTGGGAAAAAAATTATACATAGTAGACTTGTTAAGAATTAAGCATTTAAACAGAATAGCCAAAATAGCCAAAACTTTACAGACAATCCAGTCTATTAAAAGTATTCAAGAGAAATAAGAAAAATAAAATTTATTAAACATTTAGACTAATCCAGTAACACTCATGAAGTTATAACAAATAAAAAAAGTAAAATATTGAGTTTTTATTATATTTATATCTTGTGTTATTTATTCTTCATTGCATTTATGTACAACATCCATCACATTTCATTCATAAAAACATGAAAAACAACAAGCCAATTTGTAGATTTACTGATTCAAATATGTTTTGTTTTTAGATTACCAGCGGATCACTTTGGATAGGAACACAGCTCATGGATACCTCAAACTGTCAGAGTGGAACAGAGCGGTTACTAACATGAACAAAGACCAGTCATATCGTGATCGTCCAGACAGATTTGATCACTGGTATCAGGTATTGTGTAATGAGAGTGTGAATGGACGTTGTTATTGGGAGGTTGAGAGGAAAGGTTCTGTCTATATATCAGTGTCATATAAGAGCATCAGCAGGAAGGGACGGGGTCGAAAATGTGAGTTTGGATCTAATAATTGGTCCTGGAGTTTGGCCTGCTCTAGCTACAGTTGTTCATTCTTGCACAGTGGCATAAGCATTACACTCCCTGTAGTCTCCAGCTCCTCTAGAATAGGAGTGTATGTGGATCACAGTGCAGGAACTCTGTCCTTCTACAGCGTCTCTGACACAATGACCCTCATTCACAGAGTCCACACCACATTCACTCAGCCTCTCTATGCTGGGTTTTGGGTTTACTATAACGCACAGGTGAAATTGAATGATCCAGCATAATAGATTACAGACCTTTTACACATTCAGTGCTTTTCCACTGTCGGGTCAAGAGGTTCTATTCTCTAAACAATAAATTCTGTGATTTTCCTTTTATGGGCATGTCTTTTCAGAGTAATAATCTCTTGAGCAAATAGTAAAAGTAGAAGAATGAATTTAGAAGAATCATTGATTGTAACAATTTGTGAGCCTTATTATTCCATTGAAATACCATATGACCATCTTTGTTCACATGATTTTGTTAGAAATGCATCTTTAAGTTGAAAGGATCATTAGTTTGTCTTGTAGTTTATGCTAAAATGTTTGTTTGTAAATATTTGATTGTTGCTGTAGGTGTTTTCTGTGAATTTATTAAGAAAATACATTGTATATTTAAAATACTGTACACCAGGATTTTCGAACTCTGATTACATTCATCAAAAGTTACATGTTGATTTATAAACACCTATTCCCATTGATTGTAATAATTTAAAATCATAAAGGTACTAACCTTGGTTCGGTTGTATGTGAAAGTAATAGTTTGCAGTTTAGTAAGTGCCTCACAATAATCACATTCAACCGCTTTGAGGATTCAGTGATAGAAAGATTCAAATGTCAAAAAAGATTCAAAAGACGCTGCTCATGTGAGTGTGTGGACTACGCTGTATATGGGGTTTTTAGACCACTGCTGTACACTCATGTTATGAAGAGTCCAGTCAGAAAAGTGGCTTTAAAACATTTTCTACATGGAGCGTTGCCTTTGTATAAATCCAGGTTTTGTATGCATTGATTGAAATCAAGTGAATCTATTTTTCTCCTTTGTTTATAAAAAAAAATTTCAACAAAATTGTCATTTTTTGAAATAATTCTTTGTTCATTACTGAAGTTGAATCTAGGATTCTCCCTCACAGTAGCATCACAATAGTATCAGTATCATATTACACAGAATAATTTGTTTCTTTTCAAAACATCTACACCCTAAAAAAATAAAAGTGACAAGTCACAAATAAAAGATTAAAGACAAAATTCCATTTATTTCTATTAAATACAACACAGACAAATCCAGTTAGTGTTTCTGCTGTGACTAGCTGCAAATATAAATGTATAATCTATAATTATATCTAATTTAGATCATAACGAACTCTTCAAACAACACATTATCCTGTACATTTTATGTACATTTGCTATTCAGGTGAAACTGAGTATTTCATGTTGAAGGTATCAGAGTCTGAATGTGCTCACACCAGCTTTCTAATGTTGGCTTTCATATGGTCTCCCTGCAGTATGTATACATAATGCATTTCACTGCTTTAGTTTTTGCAAAATAACCTGTTAAAATAAGTGCCTGAACACTGCAAAAATACACTTGGAACTGATTGAACGTCTTATTTGAAACTCTTCTTGGTGGTTGCAGCACACTTGCAAACAACAACAGAATATATAAAATATATTAAAACTAGTAAACAAACATCAAAAATGGTGTCCTGCATTCTCTGTTGTGAGCCTGTGCATCTTTCAGGGTAATGTGTCCTGCAGTGTGTGAGTCTGTATTTGGGAAAGTGCATGCAAGTCAGGGTGGTGTTTCTTGGTGTGTATGCGGAGGTACTGTTTCCCTGCGAATCGTTTTCTACAGCGGGTGCATTCGTATGGTCTTTCTCCGGTGTGGACAGTCAGGTGAGCCGTGAGGTGTCCGGACTGCGTAAAACGCTTCCCGCACTGCTCACAGCGGTACGGTCGTTCTCCAGTGTGAATGCGCATGTGTGTGTCCAAACTCTGCGACGTGGTGAAACTCTTCCCGCAGATCGAGCAGATGAAGTGTCGCTTGCCGGCTCCACCTGTCCGTAAAGCACCCAACCGGCCATAGAGACCCAGCCCTGAGACATTACCCAGAGCAACGAGATGCTGTGCTGCAAACAAGGGAGAATTATGGGATACGAGAGAGTCTGACCTGCCAACCTTCTGTGGAGAGCTCTGCAAGTGTGTGAGCGTGTTACGGACAGAGTGTGTGGCCCAATCGGATACCGGATCCATATCAGCCTTCATGCACAAGTCTTCCTGAAAAACTCGAGGGACTTGGGAAGTGCGGGTATCCGATGAGGTTTGTGCGAGGGAGAAGGAAGCATTATCTGAAGCAGCCAAGTCGACGCTGGAGTGCTGGGACTCATCAGCGCCGGAGTGTGTGTCTGCAAACCTGAGTGTGTGAGAGTGTGTGTCATGATCAGGGGAGTGTGAGAGTGTGTGAGATTCCTGCCCCGAGAGTTCAGCAACATCTGGTTTCGGAGAGTCTTGAGTTACTGCAGAAACACTTTCACCTTCGTCCTCATCGTCGTCATCATCTGTTGAGAAACACACACAGTATGAACAAGATTTAATCTTACTGTAAAAGTTGCAAAAATGCAAGTATTAATTACTGAAAAGTAAAAATTCTAACAAATTGTATAGAAAATGTATATGTGACCCTGGACCACAAAACCAGTCATAAGGGTAAATTTTTCGAAGCTGAATAAATAGCTTTCCATTGATGTATGGTTTGTTAGAATAGGACAATATTTGGCTGAGATACAACTATTTGAAAATCTGGAATCTGAGGGTGCAAAAAAATCAAAATATTGAGAAAATCGCCTTTAAAATTGACCAAATGAAGTTCTTAGCAATGCATATTACTAATCAAAAATTAAGTTTTAATATATTTACAGTAG